TAAGCAATGTTTATTCAAGGATTTCTACATTAGAGATAAAGAGTCTGTATATCTGAAGCACTCCAGATACCCAGCTGAATGGCACATTATTTTAGGTATTTTAATGAAATCATACACACACTCCTATCCTGCGGCCATGGGGTAAGAGGCGTGACCACCTTGTGTTTGGTAGAAAAGCTTATCTGAATCTGGGTTACAAGAGCAGTTAATTTGGCTCTTTTAACCAGACTTGAAAGCACCACAATGCTGACATTATTAACCACATCCCCAATGAACCAAAGCACCTGTTAAGTGACACCTTTTTAGGAGGTCATTACCAGAGGCTACTCTCCTCTGAGACTTTGCTGCAGGGAGAAAAGGCCTGACTGTAAAAAGACAGACAGAAGTTGCAGCCAGAGTGTTCTCGACATTTTTTTAAAAATCTGAACAGTTTGCTGGAGCTGAGATGAAACATTTATCCCTCTCTTGCAGCCACTTTGGTTTCCAGGGAACCGACTGCTCGGGCTGAGGCGGGCTGAGGAAAGGTGCCTCCGCAGACACGCACATGACACACAGGAAAGCCAGCTGAAAATTTCAAAGTGCCTTTTCATGCCGTTAACTCAAAGATGAACACATTTCAAGGTGACCCAATCCTCAAGTGACAGACAGTGTTTTAAAAGGGCCAGAGCTCTCCACTTAAACAATTTCTAGTGACACGCTCACACTGCATCCTCCAGGGCTCCCCCGGCTGTCTCATTTGCTAGTCTGTCTTTCCTGGAAGAGACATCCCACTTTAAATGACTGCTTGAAGTTGGTCTTCCTTCCTAACAATTAAACTCCACAGGGCTTAGATGCTTTAAAAAAAATTTTTTTAACTTAGCAGGTACCATGGAGGACTTTTATTATTCAATTATACAACAAACCCAAATTATTACTTTGTAGTTTTTTTCTATTTATCCAAACAGTACCAGAATAATAAAACACAGCCTCATCTGTCATGCTTATAAGCAAACAGTAACAGACTTCTAAGATAAAATCAAAGTTGGTGTTCCGAAAAGGATGCCCAATTTAAGATCTAACAATACACATAACCATTGTGCTGACTGTGTGTGTGTGTTCCATACACGGGATACGATTTTCCTTTCTTCTTCACTCAAATACTGCTCTTGGTCTCTACAGCAAAATGAGAAAATTACAACAGAAATCTGAAAACAAGGTTCCTGTAGTTAGTGAAACATGCCGGGCTGGTTTTGCTCAGTTCCTCTGCAGAGATAACTCCCTGTCAAAAACATCCTTTCCCAGAAAACCGCCCCTGGACTCTGTGCATTCCTCCCTCCAATCTGACCACTCCTCTATGGTCATCTCCATCTCACTGCAGGAATTTCCAGGACTGTCCCCCTTAGGGGACTGTGAGCTCCAGGACAACAGGGCCGGGGGGATGCTCGCTTCCATATGCCAGCCAACGGCATGAACAAGTAACAGATGCCAGGGACAGCGGGCACAGCACTTTGGGGTTTTTTTTTTAAATTTGTATAAATGTATAATATATAAAGATATATTCAAAATTTTATTCTGTTCCTCTCCTACTTCCTAAACAACTGTCCTAAGTGGGCATGGGAGGAAGGGGGATGTGAGCCTTGCAGACATTTGAGCCAGGCTGGGTGGGGGACTTATTATGGCCCACAGTGGGATGTGGGAGCCTAAACAAGTGAGGGACACACTCATACACAAGGGTAGCCCGGGGTCCCAACACAGCACGGAGGATATCCACCCAAAAGGGAGGCCAAACATGGAAACCCAAGACAAGCAGGATAAGGAAGCCGCCCACGTGGACGGGGGCCCCGGCACAGACTGCCACACAACTACTGGGGGTGCGAACGGGGGCTGCAGCCTGATGATGCAGGATGAGGACAACACCCAGCCCCGGGAGTCAGAGCCCGAGAACGCCGAGAGGAGTGTCTACTGTGGGTGGGTATGTACTGCCCGCATGTGAAGTTTCACATAAGGAAGACAGAAAAATGGAATAAACTCAGTGGTGTTGGACTAGAATTGGACGTATCACTGTGAACTCATGGTCTTCTCCTTGACATACTGCGTTGGCCCAAAAGTCCGTGTGTTTTTTTCCATAAAATAAAGGACACATTTTTCATTTTCACCAATAACGTTATTGATTTAGATATTTTGAGTATGTAGGCTCTCTCTAGCCGCATGGCATAACATTGATTGTTCTCAGTTAATGTCTCGATTTGATCACGATCAACTTCAACTGGTCTACCAGACCGTGGAGCGTCGTCCAGCGAGAAAGCTCCCCAACAAAACTTCGCAAACTACTCTGACACATTCAATCAGTCAGAGCACCTTCTTCATACTCTGCACAATTTTTTGTGTGTGTGTTTCAGTTGCATTTTTACCTTTCTTGAACTAATAAAGCATAATATGCCAAAAGTGTTGTATATTTTCTTCCATCTTCAATATTAAAATGGCTACACAAAAATTCACCAATTTCGATGTTTTTTAAATGCATGCTGATATGACAGCTGTCACAACACAATCTAACAAAATTGTTTTGAATGAAGTTAAAGACGACTAAGCACTACTAAAGCCGTTTTATGGAAAAAAGGAAATTTTGGGGCCAAACCAGCTAGATGAATACAGGTGTGTGTGTGTGTGTGTGTGCGCGCAGTACATACATTCTCCAGCTATGCCAAGTGACAGGCTTGGGGACAGAGACACTCCAGTCACCACGAGCATACCTACTGCCCAGATCTTGGCATCCAAGTACTATTATTCAAGGAAAGAAACGTTCCTTGGAGAAGCAGCTGAGTCCAGTGCTAGGACAGGGGGAAAAGTATTAAATAAGCCTGGAATACCTGCACAGCCAGAAAATAAGGAAGTACTTTAAAAATAATGCAGTATGTCAAAAAAAGAGAGCTAGAGAAAGGCCAGGGTAAAAGGGCTCCCCTTAGCAAAATCTGAAACAATCCGAATATTAAATAACAGTGACAATTCAGGAAATCTCCAATATATACTAATATAAACAAATAAAATGAAAGTTTGCAGAATAACAGGATACCTAAACAATTTCAAAGTACCACCTTCAAACAGAGCTATCTAATTTCTTAAATAGACAAAATGGAAAATAACTATTGATACATACCGTATTTGCAATTACTTTCACTGTACCTCCCGAACCAGACCAGCTCCTTAAAAGCAGGGACTATCCTTGTTCACCTTACATCCTCAGGGTGGTAAGACAGTGCACAACTGGTACCCGGTAACTATTTGTTGAATGAATAAATGTGCTTCATAAAATGCCAAACCCCATCGTGGGTCTCAGTGTGGCAATGAGCCAAAGCTGATCTCCCTTATCATGTTTTAAATAAATAAGCTGCCCTTTCTGTTTGTTCTGACTTGGATTACACAAAGTGCCTTTAGAAAGCAAAACAGTCTTTACACTCCACAGTAATCATGACCTCTGATGATTTCAATTTGTGGATATGTACCTATAACAATCTCTTGTTAACATAATGCAGGAAATCCACAGAATTGTCCCCATTCCCTCCCAATTAAAAGTCAGCCTTCAATTACCTTTTTCCTGTTGTTTTTCAGATACCCTTGAAATTTTCCTTTTGCCAATTATATCTCAATAAAAAAGAAAGCAAAGATGGTTTAACTGTATTTCTTGAAAGAAAAAAAATAAACGTGTAAGTTTAGGGGAAAAAACAGGGCATCATCCTCTGTGGGTACAAAGTCACACAGTCCCATCCCTGAAGATCCAAAGTAAGACCCATGCCCCATCCCTGGGCCCCATCCACCGTCATTCAGGGTCTGCTAATCTAGGGAATATTCCTTTGTTACTAAAGTCCACATTCCAGAGACGGAACTAGAGCTTCAAACACAATCTCCTTAAAGGCAGTGACCAATGTGGAATCAAATTGGTGAGGAAATCAACTGTCTCTATAAAAACATGCCCCTACCATTCAACAGAAGTTCTGGACCATCTCTAGACCGTTTAATTAAAACAGATACTTTTACAGAAAAAAAAACTACCTTATGGGTTATATATAACTTAGTTAATTTTCTCAAAATTAGCCTTTAAAAACAACTCCCTACATAATACTATTATTTATCAACAATCGGTATCCAAAATGTACCACATACCTCAAATCCTCTTATTTTTTTTCAAATCCTCTTATTTAATCTCCAAACCACTTTATGAGGCAAATACTATTATAAACATTTTACAGATTAAGTAACAATAAGCACTGAGTGATTAAGAAATGTGCCGCAGTCCCAAAGCTACAATGAAGATCATGCTACAGATACCCAAGCTAATAAAGCTTTAACTGAGATCCTTAACCTTTGGCTGCATCGTGGTTTTGCTATGCTTGAATTACACATTTTTCACATTTTTTTGAAATCAAAAATTATTTCAGAATGAATCAGAACTAAGTTTTCTTGCCAGCAACACTAAATAATAATATTAACGAAATAAAAGTCGTGAAATAATTCACTAGGCACTCTTACAAATCTTCGTACCCCTAAAATCATAGGCAATTTTTGTAAATTATACAGTACAGAGGCCTGACAACTTTTCCACAAGCAAGGTCCCTTTGGGGATACAGCTGTGTTGAAATTATCTGCGGAAACGCAGCAGTGGATCACTCAGGAATTCTATTAAGAGCGGGCAAGAAAAGTTATCAACTATTTTTTGTTTGTGGTTCTGGGGTTTGTTTTTGTTCTTTTGCAATCCAGGAGCTAGAAGGTGAACGAGTAAGTGGGCAGATGAAACCCTTCCTGTCCTTTCCGCTTAGAAAAAGCAGGCTTGGGGGCCAAAGACTGCGGGAACGTGCCCTCGAGACAGGTCTTCCCCGTTCGGCCTTGGGGTGCAGGTCTTCCCCGTTCGGCCTTGGGGTGGGATCGGCCTGTGCGCTGCTGCCCGGCCCCGCGGCCTCCAGCGGCGAACCCCGCGCTGGCCGGGAGGAGGCGGACGCGCAGGAGGCGAAGAAGAGGGTCCTTACCGAGCTCGGTGCCCGGGTTGCGCGCAGACATCGTGCAGGCCGGTGCTGCAGCCCCCGGTTCCCCCGCCGGTATCCGCCGCGGCCCGCCCTTCCTCCTTCCTCCTTCCTCCTCCCCGGCCGGCCCGCGGGAAGAGCGCGATCGCCCCGCCCTGTCCCCTCCCGGGGCGGAGCCGCGCACCTTGGCCGTGCGGTCTGGACCCCCGGTCTGCCCCCTGCGAAGGAGGAAGCCTCGCCGACCCCTTCACTTGTCCCCTCCACGAGGTGCGGGACGCGGGCACCAGCTGGCGGAAGGAGCGCTCCCGAAACCAATTCTAAAATATTTAAAATGCCCACCGCACGGGCTAACGGCGTGAGAAACTTTTGACTGGGAGACTGCACACCGAGAGGGGTGGTGGCTCTGCAGTCTGGACAATAACGGGGTCCACGGGGAGAACACCTGGTTTTTCAGCCTTGCTCACACCCTGTGACACCGTCCACGTCAAGTGCCTTACCGAGTGGCATTTGCCTCATCTGTAACCAATGACCTCGACAGCTTCTTGGAGTTTGAAACTATGAAGATTTTTTTCCAGTCTTTTTTCTGTGGCCAGAAGATTAAAATTGTCTGAAGTCGCTCAGCACGGGCTACTTGGTCAATTCATCTGTACTCATTAAGGGCCCTCCTGAAAGAAAACGCGCTTTCAAAAAAAAATTTTAAGACTTTACTTATTTATAGACGGGAAGGGAGGGAGATAGGAAGAGAAACATCAATTGCGTGGTTGCCTCTCATGTGCCCCCTACTGGGGACCTGGCCACAGCCCAGGCATCAAACCAGGAATCAAACCAGTGACCCCCTTGGTTCGCAGTCCAGGACTCAACGTGGCCGCTTTGGTTCTGGCCACCGCCAGGCACGGCAGAAAACGTGCTTTTAGATGTATGTTGGCATTTGAGTCTTAGTCCTGCCAAGTATGTATTACATCTCCATTGCTATACCTGCAGACAACAACGGAGTTCTTATTAGAAAGACCTCCTGCTGAAGTGGAAACTGAGTAGGCTCAGAATGCATAGAACCCCTGGAATATACCAGCAATTCCACTTAATAACTACGTGGTTCTCGCAATGTTATTTCTACTACTAGGAAAACTGGGGATAATCAAAATATATTTGCTACATTCGGCCCAGCGCGGCTATAAAGGTGGCCCAACACAATGTCGTAAATTTACTTAAAACATTATGAGGGTTTTCTTGTGTGTGTGATTATGTGTTGCAATGTATTTAATATGTGGCTCACGACAACTCTCCTTCTTCCAGTGTGGCCCAGAGACGCCAAAAGGTGGGACACCCCTGGATTCTATCCATACATATAATAGCATTTTTCCTTTATTTTTATTTTAACCCTGAGAAAGACAAAAGCAGGCGCTAAAAGCCTAGAGCTAGCCTGGCACTGCAACATCACTGTGCTCTACAGTTAAACAATTTCACAGAACGCCAACATCAGCTAAGGCCCTTGTGACCATGATAAATCAACAAAAAACAAGGCCATTCGGAATCATGTCTGAACACAGGAACAAAAAAAATGAACATTGCCCAAACCACAGAATTGACCTAACATCCTCCTCCTATCCTGGCTAATATAGGTGACTGTCACTTATACCCATCATATACACATCTCTACCCGTCAGTTTTAGCCTTATCCTATTCTTCTTGTGTTTTAGGTAAGAGTTAAGATAACTTGTCATAGAATTCGCACCACTTCCTGCCTGCAATCCAACCCAGAACAAGGGCACAGTTCCTTGAAACTTCCCCAAATCACCAAGCACAAGCCCAAACCCCATGTCATTTCTAACATGATCTTACTAAGACACCTCACAGATTTCCATGGTGAGCATTCTCCCTTGTTCGGGTAAGTCAGTGAACACAAACTTCCCCAACTACAGGTGTGTTCCTGGTGATCTTCAGTTGGAGAACACCTGACATTCTTAAAAGATACAGACAACAAACAGAATTGTATTTTTAGGGGCGGATAAACTCTAAGCCAAATTCCAAGCTGTAGATTATACATTCATGTATAATGTAAATTTATTAAAACAAAACAAAAGAAAAAGCTGTGAGACTTCCAACTTAGCTGAAAAACCAGAAAGGGCAGCTTCCTACACAAGCATTTTAGCAATATATCTGACAAGAGTTTCTCAAGGACTTTTCTCTAAAATTGACCTATTGTACAGTACTAATCTGGAATTAATCTCTACAGTTTGAAAGTATGTTAAATTGACAGAAGAGAGACAGCGATGATAGAATGCAAAATATGAGTTTCTTTAATGGAGAAATAGTGCCAAGCTTTGCTTTGTGAGCTCCCCTTTTAAATGTATTGCCTTCTGAAATTTTGGAAGAGCCCCTAAGGCAAGGCCTGTCAGAGAAGGATCTACAGACCACCACTGCTACATTGGAACCTCCCGAGATTTTTCCTAAACCCAATTCTAGGCTTCACACAGCCCTACTCCAGGGCCCTGGAATCTGCATTTTAACGAGTTTCCGCAAATTATATTTATGCAAGCTAAATGTAAAAAAAGCATCCACCTAGGTGCAGAGGAGTATCAACTATGCAAGCCAGTCTAGAAATATAGACCCAACTGGCACTTACCAGAGTACAACTACCTTTATTTTATTCTATTAATCCATGAAGATTTTCCATGTCATTTCTTTTTGTGGATTTTAATAAAAAATTTAAATCGCCATATAAATTTCTGCTTCCCACCCCCACTCCTTCTTCAATTAAAATGAAAGCTCCAGGAATGTGTCATATTTCTCTTGAAGCTTCAAGAACCTATGTGGCCTGGCAGGTTGAGTAAAATTCCGAAGATCATTGACTATTTGCTTGGTTTGTCATATGTGTAGTGTCTATTACAGTATGTGGCACATAGTGGACCGTGAATTTTTGCTAGGTAAATGACTGCACATTACTGTCTGTGCTATTTCCCTATAGTGCCCGTGTTTTACCTAGTCCAATTTCATTTGACTGTAGGCTCTTATTCTGATTTCTTAGAGCAATCATTCCACTAAATTAATCCACTTAGACTACAGATTGTCAACCAGCATTTCTAAGAGAGATGGGGAAAGTATAGAAGCAAGGAGGACTCATGAGGGTTATGAATATTACAACTGAATTATTTCACAACTGGAGGAAGATCCACAGACCATGTAATTCCTACTTCACAGCGAAATAAGAAAAATAAGAATTATTTTGAGTCTTTTATGAAGCTAAAGTTACCCAATTTCAAGAACAGTTTTTCATTCTGAGACTGTCCATCACAACTTGGATTTTAAAATGTCCTTTTTTAAAATGAAGATTGTGGTGGTATTTTTTTTTCCTTTTCTAATAGCTTTACTTGGCAAGATTGGAAGTAGACCATTCTGTCTTGCTCACTTGCCTGTTCTTCTAACACATTAGTCCATCAAATCCCAAAGTTTGGGAATTACTGACAGATTAAATTTATATGTTAATATTCTAATGATTTAAGCCCTTTACATTATTTGGTATCTCCTCCAAATATCTAAGTGTAACAACTATCATTTCCCCTTACAGATAAAGAAATTGAGTCTCAGGGAGATTACTTTGTAAGTGCCAGGGAATGACTGAAACCCAGGCAGTTTAACCCTATGGACCACACTTACTGTGCCTGCTCTCTCTCAAGTCCAACTCGTTATTAGACACACCATTTAACCCTTCCGAAATCAGGTTTCCCACGTACAGTTATGCACCGGTTCCCAGTGGGGACACATTCTGCAAAACGCAGTTAGGTGATCTGGTCACTGTGGGAAGATCAGAGCACACTTACGCAGACCTACATGGCACAGCCTGTTACACACCAAGGCCACGTGGCATGTAGCCCGTTGCCCTTGGCCTACAAACCTGTACAGCATGTTTCTGTACTGAATACTGTAGGCAACTGTAACACAGTGGTTTCTGTGCAACTAAACAGAAAAAAGGTACAGTAAAAATGTGGTATAAAAGTTAAAACGGTGCCCCTGTATAGGACACCTGGCAGGAATACAGCCTGCAGTACTGGAAACTGCTTTGGGTAAGCGGAAAGTGAAGGTGAAGGCCTAGGACACAACTGGACACGGCCGTGGACGTCATCAACACTGTGCGCTTAGGCTACGCTAAACTTGTAAAGCACGAGCTTCAATCCAGCACGAGAAAAAATGCTGCAATCGAGAGATGCCGTAAACAGGAAATGAGGCTGCTTTTAAAAAGTAGAGATACACTCTAAAGTAGTAAGAAAAAGCATAGCATAATACATACACAAACAGTAACATAGTTCATTGTTACCGAGCGCTCTGTACTGTACTTAAGTGTAGGTGCTGGAATTCCAGGACCGGCAGTGCAGGTCTGCTCACACCAGCGCTCACCAGTGAGTGGTCGTGAGTGCCAACCACAGATAAGACGGAAACGACGTTACAAAATGTGAGAATGTTTCAGCTCCATTCTACAGGACTACTGTCATGTGCGGTCTATTATAAACTAAAAATCAGTTATTTTCCATTTTCCAAGTTCCATTCTCTCATATAACTATGTAAAGTGATTCAAGCGATAAAATATTACTCATCAGCTCTGTTAGCTACATACTCCAACCTTGTTTCCACAGGTCAATTTGTTAGATGCCTCATTTGTTTCTTCAGGAACTCCACTGATTTCATTTTTTAAAATATTTTATTTATTTTTAGTGAGGGGTAGGGAGTGTGAAAGAGGGAGAGAAACATCAGTGCAGGAGGAACATCAATCAGTTGCCTCTTGCATGCCCCCTACTGGGGACCCTGCCCGCAATCCAGGCATGTGCCCCGACTGGGAATCAAGCCAGTGACAGTTTGCAGACCAGCACTCAATCCACTGAGCCACACCAGTCAGGGCAGGAACTCTACTGACTTTAAAGTACCACTGATCTAGGTGACACTGTGTCACACTTAAAACTGTGCATTCCTGTGTACAAGAAAGCCAAGCTCCCTAGAACGCTCCTGCTCCAGTAATTCTTCCTTAGGAATCCCCTTAGAGTAAGAGAACATGTAATGTACACATATATGGTAACCATATTAAACATCCTTTTGTTTAAAAATATCCAGGTGTAAAACACAAGATACCTACCGAAGACAGAGTGTCCCTTGGTCTCCATTTTCTTTTAATAATTATTTTGTTGTTCAATTACAGTTGTCTGCATTTTCCCCCACTCTCCCCACCCCAACCACACCCACCTCCCTCCCTTGCTTCCATCCTCCCCCTTGGTTTTGTCCATGTGTCCTTTGTAGTTGTTCCTGAAAACCCTTCCCCTCATTATCCCCTCCCATCTCCCCTCTGGTTACTGCCAAATTGTTCTTAATTTCTATGTCTGATTATATTTTGCTTGCTTCTTTTGTTATGTTCCAGTTAAAGGTAAGATCATTATGGTATTTGCCCCTCACCTCTTGGCTTATTTCACTTAGGATAATGCTCTCCAGTTCCATCCATGCTGTTGAAAAAGAGTAGTTCTTTCTTTCTCTCTGCTGCGTAGTATTCCACTGTGTAAATGCACCATAGTTTTTTGATCCCCTCGTTTTCTGATGGACACTTAGGTTGCTTCTAGCACTTGGCTATTGTAAATTGTGCTGCTATGAACACTGGGGTGCACAGGTTCTTTTGGATGGTTGTTTCCTTGGTCTCCATTTTCAACTCCTCATTTTGTTGCTGCTCTCTGAAAAATTACATCCCTATCCCCCCCACCCCCACCTCAGCCTCAAAGACAGGCTAAATTAATAATTCCACTGAACTTAAACTACCAAAAATGTAACCTGTAAATTAACATAAATTACAGTATGTCTTCACTACACTATTTGGTAGCCATTAACAAGAATGTTGAACTTTATTCACTAATGGAAAAACACTTCAGAGAACTGATGGACCACATTCAATCCTAGTTTCCTGGAAGAAACCTCTGCATGACACTAAAACTGAAAAGTAAGGATTCACAAGGTAAACACTAAACATTAGGCAGGAATTTGGATTACCCTGACCTACTGTACATTGGAACAGAAAAAGGAGGACCCCGAGCAAAACTGCAGTGGGAAAAGGTGGAGATGAGGGGACTATACCATACAGCAGGACTCCTCCCAGCTGGCTGAGGCTGTTCAAGGGCTCACAGAAGCAAGGAGTCTGAGCAGGTTCCTGCCATGTAAAAAGGATGGCATGCATGGGGGGGTAAATGGAAAATAATCCTCCTGGCCTGATAAGATTTGGTGCTAATGTAGGGCTTTGTTTCAACAGCTTGTGGGTACTTACAACATACCAGCCACCTTTGAATACCACCCTCAGTAGTATCACTGAAGACAAAAAAATATACAAAGTTACTTCAGACAGTGACAAGAACTATGAATAAATTGGGGACAAAATAAGTGACCAGAGAAGGGCTACAGGGCTGCAGACGCGGATCGCAAAAAGGTGAACCATGCAAATCTTTAGGTGAGAAAGCCAAGTAGCAGAATTAACAAGGGAAGTGAAAAGGCCTGGAGACAGAAATAAAGCACCTTTGGCTACAGCAGTGCAAGCAGGGGAAAAATACAAAGGTCACAGAAAGCTGGAGTCAGATCATCATAAAAACACGGTGCAATATAATGGGAAGCCACTGTGGATTAAATCAAGGCAGTCTACTGACTCTTCAAATCCTAATGCAGTTCATTAGCTTCCTGCTATGTAGAGTATGAAGAGGATACGGGCCTGTCCAGTAGAGAGAGAAGCTAGGGAGGCACTGCAAAAGTCTACATGAGAAATGAAGGCAGGCCGGCCTCGGTGGCTGCACGGGAAATGAGGCAGGCACAGACTCAGACAAGCCCACTGGGCTTCCATGTACACTAGATACTGGGATTGCAGAGGACATCTTTGTCTTTTAGTTTGAACACACGAGTATCAGGTAGTGCCAGCTACTGGAGTAACACGTTGGAAAGCAAACAGGATTGGTTGGAAAATTACAATGTTTTAGATAGGTAAGTATGAGATGCTTATGCAAGGTTAAGGTGGGACACCCAAACAGGCCATTCAATGCTGGTGCTCAGGCAGGCAGGCTTGATATACAAATTTAAAAGATACAGAAGATATTAAATGCCACAACCATGGATGACTTCTATTTTCCTTTGGAGACAGCAGAAGGGATAGCCCTGAGATCAAAAGGAAATAGCAAACAGAGCAATCACAAAAGTATAAGGAAGACCAGGAGTATGGTTTCATACAAGTGCAATAAAATATTTCAAAAACAAGGCAGCAGACCACTACTGAATGCTATTGAAGATTTTAGTAGGATGAAGACAGAGAAGTAATCACTGGGTTAGAAACACGCTGGACATTGGAGACTTTCACAAATGCAACTACAGTACATACATACTTCAACTTTTTGCTAAAGTAAATTCTACTGTAGGATTTAGTGCTAAGTGTGGTACATAGACTAATGGGCCCCAAAATATACCCACATCTTAGTCCATGAAACCTGTGAATGTTACCTTATATAGCAAGAGGAACTCTGCAGACTTGATTAAATCCAGGACCTTGACCTGAGGGTATTATCCAGATGCGTCCAGTGTAATCACAAATACCATTACGTGAAAGAGGGTAGGAGAGTCAGAGATATGAAGACGCTATGTTGTTGGCTTTGAAGGCGAAGGAAATCGGGCCACCAGCTAATGCTAGTGGCCTCTAGAAGCTGGAAAAGGAAGGAAACAGATTCTCTCCTAAGGTCTCCAGAAGAACATAACCCTGCCAGCACCTGAATTTTAGCCCAGTGAGACTCATTTCACACTTCCGACCTCCTTAAGTCTAAGATGAATTCATGCGGCTTTTAAAATTTTTCTTTCTTTTATTGGTTCTAGAGAGAGAGGAAAAGAGGAAGGGAATCATCAATGACAGAAACATCAATCTGTTGCCTCCTGCATGAGCCCTGCCCAGGACTGAACCCAAAACCAGGCACAGTGCCCTGACCAGGAATTGAACCTGTAACCTTTTGGTTTGCAGGATGATCCTCCAACCGAGCAAAACTGACTAGGGCTGAACTTGTGTTTGTTTTGAGCGACAGATCTGTACTAATCTGTAACAGCAGCAACAGAAAACCAATACACAAAAGATAGCCAACACTAGTTCTTCCCACATCCTGCTTGGTATCTGTACACTCAGTATACACGTGGGTATAAAGAAAAACAAGGTTACCCTGTAGAATTAAACTAGTAAAATCCCTAAAAACGTATCTTCTGTTGTTAAAAGTAGCAAATAATTGTAAGAAATTCTAGTAATCTAGCAGAAGCTGAAACCTAGAATGACTTAACTGGGGAAACCAGTACCTTGGACTGTGCTGGAAGCACAGGAACTTCACAGTGCATCCCGCACACTGACCAGAGATCTGACCAACACGAACATTCCTGTCACGCAAGCATAAGGCACATTATGCCAGATCTCCATGGCCTGAAACCCTTCAACTTACAAAGTTAAAACAACTTCTACAGATTCTAAGCCACATGCCACCCAGTGATCGTGCCGGCATGTACCTGTGTAGTTTTATGAAATCTAAGTAGCCCCTTGGGTCATAAATTTCATATATGCCAAGCAATCTCATGACTAATCGGCTGCATATAAACCTCGACTTTATTTAGGATGAGTAAGACTCTACGACTGGAGTCTGGCAACCCTTGGCACAGGGGCAGCAGCGCTTCTGCAGAGCAGAGGGCCAGGCTTCCCCTCCGCCAAACAGCTCTTCGCACTCTAAGGGGGCCACAGCCTGCAGTGCTCTCTGCAGCTGGTTACCGCAAATCCTCAGAAACTTACATGCTTGTTGGTTATTTCTTTTAAAAGAAAGTGATCAAGGGTCATTCACATGAATGGGAGAGAAAAAACATTTGGCAGAGATGTTACTCATTGTTTCAAAGTATTTCCAAAGCACTGGTATCAATACCCACTCCATATTTTAATAAATAAATGTAAGTCTAAACTCAGTTGATCCATGTTATTGTTAGGCTGATAAAAAAGCTTTTTGAATGCAACCTGAACTTCAAGGGTACAGGAAAATAAACACTGCAGGTCTACTGTTACCCAACTTTTATAAAATTTGCTATCCATGCCTATATACACACAGCGAGGCACTATGTGCAATCATGTTCACTGAATTTTAATAGATTTTCGGGATGGTGCATTGTGAGTAATTTTTCTGCTATCTTTCTGCTAATTCTGAATTTTTTTCCTTATAGGGCATGTAGCATTTAAGTAAGTTATTATTCTGAAAGTTTAAGGCAAAGCAAGCACTTCTATCCCATATAAGGAGGCAGTAAATGCAGCCCAAGCAAAGTCCAATAATTCAGTACAACAGAATTTCAAAATTTGGAAACAATGTTTACTACAGATTCTTTAATCAGATTGTTTTGATACAGTTACGATGTAGGTGATTTCCATTTACAAAACTCAAATTTATTAATTTCCCCAAGAAACACTGTTTTGTTTTAGAGGCATTTTATTTAGGCAACAAAAACAATTAGATATTCAGAAGCAGTGTACAATGAACAAGAGATCAAACTAGTTACTTTATCATGTATTCCCTCTTCTTTATAATGAGCAAAAAAAAGACTTCCTGTTTTAAGGGAAAAGTCAGAAAAATAGGCCAATATATTTCTTCACCGTAATAACATAAACAGCTACAAGAATCTAACTGTAGTAAGAGAAACTGAACATTGGCTTGCACATATTCATGACGAAGACAACAGGCCATCACACCACCAGAGCGTAACTCCACCTGCCTTCATCGGATACTCTGCATTTCACTTACAGGTAACACCAAGTTACTTCCTGCACCGGAGCTAGTCCACGTTCCTCAGTATTCAGTGCTCCATGTTTGTCTTAAGCAGAGACCACTCTAGAAGGCCGATGCTTTTCTCTGCTTGCTTGTTTTAGTCTGTAAATGTATACTACTTGTGGCATATACATGATACTCAGGCCTTCACTTCAGGAGTTGAGCTATAGATCGAATCTGAATTCTCTGAAGCAATTTCTTCTACAATTACAAAACAAAACAAAAAATTCACATTAGTGAATTTAGGAAAGAAGGAAATCTACATTTCTGCGTAATAAAGGAATAAGAAAGGCTTGGGGGTTCCTTTTTTTAGTGTTCTGGTGTAAGAAAGTGAAAGCGGGTAAGTGCACGTGCCAGTAATGACTGGACTGACACCACCGAGAAGGCAGCGAAGAACTCGTGTGTTCTACCCACTACTCTTTTACACCCTAACTGAACCTCCCAGGGGCCCCTTCTTGGCTAAATCTCCAATGACTCCGTCCCATCTTTGAAAGATCCAACTCCTCCTTTATTAGAACCTAAACAATATGATATAATCATGGCACATCCAATTCATAATGGGAAAGAACCCTTAGTATATAATAAGTGCTTAACCAATGTTAAATAACCCTCACAACTGTAACAACTGGCTTATTTATTTCAGCATCTGACTCATACGTTGGACTCTAAGTTCAGTAAGAATGACCGCACATCAGTCGTCCATACCGCATCCTTGTGCCTAATACTATGCAGCAGATACTTAAATATTTGTCATGTAAATGTGTATATATAGATACACAGTTAAATTTTCCACTATTTAGGTATATTCACATTAATAAGTTTCCTCTGTCAGTAAGTAAAACTCGCATAACACTTCAATTTGAAGTCCCCTAGGAGTCTACAAAAGTTAACTCGTTAGTATTTACCTAGCTCCTCTTCCGTCGTCTCTGGAAAACTGATCTTTGGCTTTGCCAGCTCACCACTATCTTCTTCTATGAAAAGACAAGCAATGATATGTGCATTACAATATTACCAGTAACAGAAGTATTTTATAAACAAGAAGAGTAAGCCAGGACTATCCCAAGCAATGAGATACAAAATGTAATAGGAGGAACAACTCCTTTTTTAGTAATTATAATAGTACGTCTTTCCTTAAAAACTGCTTTTAGGTTCGTACAACTACATTGGGACCAATGCCTAACTACTTTTATTAAAAACATGTCTAACTTGTTAGTAAGGACCAGGAAGTAATGCCATCAGAGATTAAATATATTTACTTATAAATTATTCATATTGCACTCTAACAAATTTTGAATTAGGTCAATTCCATTCGCCAAATCACCCAATGTAAAAATACAGAAATAGAATAATTATACACAAAATTTAAACAAAAGAACAGACAAAAGGACACAGTAGCCAATTTATAATCACAGGATTCTCTTTGTGTGAACCATGTTACGTAATTTTAAATCTCTGAGACAGAAACACTGAAATAAAATTAATGATAAAAAACGACACAAAATTATATAGAGTTGAATTCAGTAACTCTGAACAAACGCACTTACCAGGAAGCACACATTTCCAGAGGCCGTATGTTTTTCCTACCACGGTCTGCCACAGTCTCAAAGTCCCATCTTCAGAACCACTGGCATACAGCTCTCCATCGGGACTAAACCTCACACAGTGAATGGGACCAAAGTGTCCTTTGTAGGATTCTAAAAGAGGAGAAGGGCTATTAGACAATTTAATAAACAGGTTAGGTACTGATACACTAAAGAAAATGCTGTCTATATTATTGAATTATACCTAATTAAAATAAAACGATTCTCATTACCATCGTGTCTACCATTTATCAGTAAGATTATGCAATTCTAGCATACATTCTAGTGTCGGATTGTCTCTCTTTCTAAAAACAAAACACAAACAAAAAAGCCCTGACACTTCCTGTGTCAATAAGGATGGAGGAAGGGAGTATATGATAACCTCCCTAAATTCCACAGAAAGTAAATCTAAAGCCTATCAGCTCGAACCCCATTTCCATATCCTAAACTCACTGCCTATTTACCAGGGAACTAATTCTTCATTATGACGATAGAAAGCCACTAGATGGAGCTCTTTTACACACTTTGTCTCTTAATTTTCCTACCAGACCTTAAGTCCACTAGTCATTCTGTCACAGAACATTGAGATACAAGGTCAATAATGATCCTTACGTATTTTCATCTATGACATGTAATGAGAAAATGTACATATTAGTAGTGGTCATGGCCTATTTAAGTCACATCCTTGTTTACACACTTTTCCACTTTACTTTCTAATGCCTCATCACATTAGGTTTCAAAGCTTTTTACTGGACCAATGTGCGTGTTTCTGAGTCTATTCCTCAAAGTCTCTCAAGCACCACCTTCCCCCTCCCTGTCCTACCAGAGAATATCATGAGAGTGTTTATATCATAAGTAAAAATTATGCAAGTAGAAAGAATAAGAGGTTTTGGAATGAGACTGCTAGGCCCAAGGTCTGGTATTCACTAACTGTGACCTAAGATATCAGGCAAATAATTTACTCCTCTTTTTCAAAAACCTCTTACTTAAAGGTCATTTATATTCGAGTAATAAAAGAAGAACCATAAGCAATGAAAATAGATTCTATATGGCCCATTTGCCAAGGTTCCATTAATCCAACCCAAATCTATCAGCCTTCTCAAAGAAAAAAAACAATAAAACTGTCTCACTTCTGGTCTTGATGGCAGTGTAGGCAGACATGACTCACCTCTTTGCACAACCACAACAAAATTACAACTGAAATGTAGAACAAGCGTCACTCAGAACTGTCGGAAATCAAGCTGAATGTCAGTCTGACAGCTACAAAATTGAAGAAACCACATCCAACCAGACTGGTAGGAGGGGAGCAGATGCAGAATGGGCTGGTCCCTCACCCATGTGTTGTGGATAAAAATTCAGAAGGGCTTTATCAGGAGCGAGGAGTCATAGCCTCATACCAGACCCCTAGTCCAGGGTACCAGTGCCATGATGGTGTAAGTCCCCACAACTTCTGGCAGCAAAAAACAGTGGGGATTGAGTCTGTGGAAATAACTGCTGGAGCTCTAAGCATTTCCTCTTAAAGAACCCAAATGAACTCACCTACTCAGACTCACTCCCTCTGAGCTTCAGCATCTGGGGAGCAGCTTCAAAGGCACCAGTGGCACAGAGGGAGAAACTGAAGTGTCTGGTATCAAGGCAAGCTGAGGCCATTGTCCCCTTTCTAAACCACCATCCCACAGAGCCAGCAGGCTGGTGCCATATCTGAGACTCCATCAACCTGGCTAACACTGTTTGACCAGCCTTGGAGAACCCTAGAAATTCCACCTCACCCAGTCTATGGGACCATCCATATGGAAAAGCTAGTTTTCCATATGAATGACTGGTCTTGGCTCCTGTTACGTAACTTCCTAAATCCCCTCAAACATGCAGCAGCTGGCCTCAGTGAGCTCCAGGCTCTGCATTAGCAGCAGCCAGCCTAGATTCACAGCTTGGCTTCGCATGGGAATCTCCCAGCCCAGCACAAGTAGCAGCCACCTCAGTTTGCTTTACAGCTCAGGCAGGGTACTCGGGGCAAAACACAGGTGGAAGGTGACCTTGGTCTACACCACGCTGGAAACCCCAGGGCCAACTCACCCAATGGACAGCTACAGATCATGTGAGAACACCACCACCCTGCTCCTGCACAGCTGAGCCTCCACAGTGAGCAGAGGTTGGTGGTCAGTGGTCACAGCCAATCCTTGTGGCTAACTGGCCTGTGTATATCCTTCCCATTGATCTGCCAAGAGCAACCAAGGCTCACCTACAAGAGGAGGGTGTCCTCAGCCCACACAAAGGGGGCACCTCAAATATCCAGGTAGGTTGATAAGGAAAACCGTGCTACTGAACCCCACTGGACACCTACTACATTAGGCCACACTACCAAGACATGGAGTCAAAGCAACTCTATCTAATACATGAAAGTAAGCACGGGGAGGCTGCCAAAGCCAGGGGACAAAGAAACGTGGCCCAAATGAAAGAACAAACCAAAACTCCAGAAAAAGAGCTAAATGAAATGGAGATAAGCAATCTATCAGATGCAGAGTTCAAAACACTGGTTATAAGGATGATCAAGGAACTTAGTGGGAACCTCAGCAGTATAAAAAAGATCCAGTCAGAAATAAAGGATACACTAATTGAAATAAACAACAATTTACAGGGAAACAGCAGTAGAGTGCATTAAGCTGAAAATTAAATCAGTGATTTGGAACATAAGGAAGCAAAAAACAACCAACAGAACAACAAGAAAAAAGAATCTCCAAAAAAAATGAGAATAGTATAAGCGGGCCCTGAAACAACTTCAACAGGTCCAATATTTGCATCATAGGGATGCCAAAAGGAGAAAGAGCAAGAAACTGGAAGTCTATTTGAAAAAATAATGAAAGAAAACCTCTCTAATTTGGTGAAGAAAATAGACATGCAAGTCCTGGAACTGCAGAGTCCCAAACAAGATGGGTGCAAAGAGGCCCACTTCAAGACACATCATAGTTAAAATGCCAAAGGTTAAAGGTAAAGAGTAAATCTTAAAAGCAAGAGAAAAGTAGTTAGTTACCTACAGGGGAGTTCCCGTAGGACTGTCAGCTGATTTCTCTAAAGAAACTTTGCATGAAAAAAGGGACTGGCAAGAAATATTCAAAGTCATGAAAAGCAAGGACCTACAGCCAAGACTGCTCTACCCAGCAAAGCCATCATTTAGAATCAAAGGGCAGATAAAGAGTTTCCCATACAAGAAAAAGACTAAAAAAGTTCATTGTCACTAAGCACTTAGTACATTAAAATGCTAAAGGGACTATTTAATAAAACATGATCAAAACTATGAATAATAAATGGCAAATACAAATCTATCAACAATTGAATCTAGAAAACAAACTAAGCAAACAAGAACAGAGACAGAATTATAAATATGGAGAGCATTCTGTTGGTTGCCAAGTAGGAGGAGGGTGTGGGGGAACATGTGAGAGGTGAGGGGATTAAGTAGTTAGAGAGTAGTCATGGGGATGTAAAGTACAGGAAATGGAGTAGCCAGAGATCTTACATATATGACCATGGACATGAACAATGGTGGAGGGATTAGCTGAGCTACTGATGGTGGTGATGGTGGTGATGGTGGTGGTGGTGATGGAGGATACCGAGTGGAAAGGTGGCATGGGGAAAAATCAGGACAACTGCAATAGCATAAGCAATAAAATATAAAAATAAATAAAATAGTTTTAAAAATTGTCTTTTGTTCTGTCTATATCATTCTAACAAGCTTAGTTCATTGGGTAGCCAAGCAGGATAGCTGGAAACAAAGCGCCAGCTTACAGACAAAAAAATAACAACAAAACAAACAAAAAAACCCACAACATAAAAGCTAAACACGTTAGTTCAAAAAGCAAAAGCTATTTGGGAACTAAAGTAAATATTGAGAGGCATACCTAGCCCATCAAATAAATGTAAAGTTACAATGATCATTAACTGCAAATTAATCTTACATACCCTCTCCTTTCCTTTATTGAGGACTATTATCATGAAAATGGAAGCAAAAGTCAAGACTCTTAAAAAGAATAAAAATAAAATAAAAACAAACCAAAAACTCAACCTCCCCCCAATTACCCCACGGTATCCCTGTAATAGTTACAGATACTTCCATACCCCAATTCACTAGAGAATCTTAGGGATTCCTATGTTGGCAAAGGGGGGGGAGGATTAGGTACATGGGGCTACATACATGCACTATACTTCAGAACAGATCTCTTTGTACCTATTTAATATGACTTTGGCATAACCTTGCCTCCCCCCATAAATACACTGCACTATTGTACAGAATGTCAGAATACAAATGAACTTTAGTTCAAAGGAAAAGGTAAATAAAGTTCAGCATACTTTAAGTTCTGTATACATTTCTACCTAAATGGATAAAAATCCTTTACTTTTCATCACTTGGCAGCTGTGAACTTGTAGTTAGCTGAAAAATTTGCTGGAGTGCTAATTACTAAAACCTAACATTTGATAAAGGTAACTATATCATTTTAAGGGAGAATAAAGAGGACAACTCACCTAATTCTTCTCCACTATTATAATCATATTTATAAAGTTTAAAATCTTCACCACCTGCAACAAGAAATTCTTTCTCAGGATGAAGAGATGCAGAATTGATGGTTGCAGGAGCTTCAAAGGATTTAATTGGATCCAAACTAGAAAAAATTCATATAAATACTCAAATTTGTAGTCTTACATAAATAATACAAGGAAATAATTAGTTACATTTAACTGGTCCTACATTCTGAAATATTCATCTAGTCAAATGCAGCAATGTTAAAAAACAAACAAAAAAAAACCCTCAATAATACTAGCAAAACAAGTTCTAAAGGATTCTACACCCAGGTGGAACTCACTCCTGAATACAAAGGCATTTCAGCAGAGGATGCCTTCCTGCAAATGTCTGTACTGGCTCATTAAAGCAGTATTAATATATTGGGATTTTTCTGTTTTGAAAAAATTTTAATTCTGTAATGTTACCTTTCCATGACAAACATACATTATCTTTGTAAACAAAAAATGTTTTTACAGGGCAATGATATTAAAGAATTATTTATACAATATTCTCAATTGCCGAAAATTTATAAAGCTTCTGCTTCAGGATAAACCTTCAATCCCATTAAATATAAATTGCTAAAACTGGCTCACTTTTCACTATCAGGCAATAGGAGAAAAACTAAATTTGAGACTGGAGCTCTCTAATAAAAAAAATTAATCCGTAACAGCTTCACCCAAATATCAGTGAGTTTTGGACACTGGCTCTTGTCCAACCCTAAAAATCATGAAATCCTCCAATACAAAATATCAGTGCATTCCAGCTCCCAAATGCCTCCACCATCCTATTCCCATCACCACACACTACAAGGCAGGAAAAGTAAAATTAGCCATGACTGATGTGGGATCATTGAATAGAACTTTCCAGCTCAAATGTTAGAATATTCAATAGACCAGCAAACCCCTGCCACCAAAATACAACTTAAGGCAACAGTCCACAGCAGGACTGCAGGTGGCCAGAGCCAGGAGTGAGCAGTTAACAGAGCCGTGCAATTGAATATTCCTATCCTCTGTCCGCTACTGAATTCTTTTACAGGGAATCACAGGTGCACCCTAACCCTCAGGACACTGTTGTAAGAGGGAAACTGACACATAATCCAGCGCAACCTACAATGAGGCATGCCTAGTAAAATGTTTTCCTGGACTTTTGAATGGCTAAGAATATTTTAAAATAAAAAATATACCTGTTAGGGTTCCAGGATCCAGAGTGGGGGTGGGAGACCCACAAATAAACATACTTATGTAGCAAAGAAAATAAAGCTACTATTAATATTCTGGAACCTATGGTTGTAGCACTGTGGGTGAACTTTATTAAATTGTATTTTCCAAATTTTCAACAAGAACATTTACTATATTTAGAGTCACAAGACTTATGTCTGTTAAAAAAAATCATTAGGTCTACACATACTTGGAATAGGGAAAAAAACTATTTCTCCAAAATTTTAAAGTAATAATAGGAGAATCAAGATCACAGCAGTTTTATGTAGTAATAAACATAAATTATGGCACCAGTCCAGTGATTCTTTAAAGAAAAATAAAATTTTAAAGTTAAATTTTATCAATAAGTGTTTTAAGTATCTGAAAATTAATTTGATTCATTTCTCTGACTAAGTACACTAAATTCTTTATAAACACATTATTAATGGTGTGGAAACATTTATCTCCATGTTACATAGCAGTAATTTTCAACTGGTGTGCCAGAAGAATTTTAAAAATGTGTAATACTGGATCATTGTAGCAGGGGACCTGACCTCTTTTCCCTTAGATTATCAAATAAAAAATAACAGCCAACACAACAACAGACCTTCAATGTGAATAAATCAAAACTATATACCTGTTTTTCTCAGATCAGCAAAAAATACCTTTTCGGTGTGCCGCAGAGTCTCACAAATTAGTTTGTGTGCCACAGTTACACAGTACAGGCCAAAATTTGCCTTTTAAAGAGTTTAATAACTTTTCATACATGCCTTCTAGTTTTTAAATATTCTAGGTCGTCCTTTCTTACCAAAAGAGAAAGTGAAGGTATTTCTTGGACATACCTTACTGCACTATGAAAAGCAATAGATCGTCCATAGGTTATGACCAAAATCTCTCCCTCGGGAATATATTCCATACTGCTAACAGACATATTAAAATTTAGAGACTTCACTTCTGTCATTGTAGCGTGATCCCAAAGGCTGCAAAAAAGGAGAAAATAAGGTGGCATTTACTCAATTTAAAAAGCTTGACTCCCAATCACACCTGCAGATTAACCAGTAATCACAAGTGTAAAACAATCTCCATTCCAACTTATAAATTACAGATGATACACAGTTCTGGGTTCCTATACAAGGTCAAATCATCATTAGCTTATTGGTAAAGTCAACTATAGTATTTAAATATACTTCCGAAAGAATTCAGCAAAACTATGCAAAATCTAAGACACTTATGCCCTAATCTAAATAACTTCAGTGGTGCTCTAAATAATGGTTCTTACAGTTTTTATAAAAGATTTTATGTATTTATTTTTTATAGGAAGAAAGGGATGGAGAAAGAGAGGGGAAAAACCACAAAGTATGCTTTTGCCTCTCATACACCCACTATTGCTGACTTGGCCCACAACCCAGGCATGTGCCCTAGACTGGGAATTGAACCAGCAACCCTTTGGTTCGCACGCAGGGTGGCACTCAGTCCATTAAGCCACACCAGCAAGGGCTGGTTCTTATCTTTTTGTAACTCTGATGTTGGCTATGTATCTTTCCACAGAAAAATACATCATTTTTTTAATATAAAATTATGTATAGAATTTCAGGGATTTCACGGACTCCCTATAGTCAGCCTGTCCCTGACCTAGGTAAAGAGCACCTGCCCACAAGGTGTTCATGGTTTTAATTGTCTTGTAAGTTCTACTCTGCTTATAATAGTAAGTGGATACCTCCAGAAGAATGTGGCCTATGTGCTGAAGTTTTAATGTTCAGAGACAATGCTTCCTATGTAACAGTCATAAAAAGTAATTAAAGTATAAGCTCTAAGGTCAAATACTTTTCAGACTTTAAACAGCAAAGAAAAATTGCTCACCGGACAGTTTTATCATCAGCTGAAAGAATCTGTTTATCCTCACTGCACCACAGAGCCTTTTTAATACCAGAAGTATGGCCGCTGATTTCCTTCGGTTCTTAAAATATTAAAATATACTTGTTAATATTTGATCTCCAAAACTGAGCAATACTGGAAGAATTTAATATGTAAAAAAATACTTTTTAAATTAGACTACAACTTTATATAAAGCCTAGCACAGTTCAAACTTGCTGTTTACGTAGAATACAGTCAATTTTTCTATACTGGAATAAAAAATTTTCTGCATGACAAAGAACCCAAGAATTATGATACTATATGTAGCAAAAATAAATACACCACTCCCTCCAGGCTATTTTTCTGCTTTCAAAAGCATTACTGTATCACAATAAAATAAAAGGATAACTAATATGGCATAATTTAATAAGAATATAGACCAAGGAACAAGACAGCCTGAGTTAATGCTAGTACTATCACCAGTACTGGGACCCTCATCCAAGCCACTGTTAGTAGTAACACACAAAAAGGGCTGGGGGTGGTGGGGGTAGTGGGGGTGGTGGGGGTGGTGGGGGTGAGGTGCAGAGGCTACAAGGAGAAAAGGGTAATGAAAAGCAATGAAGTATTCTCAAGAATACAGGGTGGGGAAAGTAGGTTTATAGTTGGAAATACATGTAAATTTATTCTTATAGTATTATTTATTAACTATTCTTATTATTTTCTATACTTTTGCCCCATCCTGAATTTCTACATGGGGAGCAAAGCATAAAAAAAGGAAAAAGAAAAAAGGAACCTTTTCCTGCTGGAAGCTTTCCCTTCGAAAGATTAAATAGACAACATTCATTGTTATCTCTGGGAAAAACAGATGCTGGAGGCAATGGTACTCAACACTACTGACTTTGGGCAAGTTACTCAACCCTCTGAAGACTGCAATCCTTCAACAATAAAATGGATAACAGTAATTCCTATATCTCATAGTTTGAGTTTAAACATCAAATGAGAATATACATCTAAACTTTCTAACGTGGTCTCTGACATACAGTAAAAGCTCAGTTAATTTATTGTTTCCACTGCCAGTAGAATGGAAGAATCCCTTTCAAAAAGCAGCTCTGAGAAAAGTAATAGATATAAAAATGTGCCCCCCCAATAAACCCTTAATTACCTTGCTGAGTCAGATAGGTACACTTTGCTATCTTTTTTGGCTTAAAGTTATCAAAGAGAATAAAGATAAAAACTTTTCATATTCTAGAATCATCTAGTTTGTTTTCTCACCTAAAAAATGCTTTTAGAAAAGGTGTCTTGATAATAACTGCTTAATTACCAAAGTAGCTTTAATATTCTTACCAACTTCCAAAGTTGATTTATGAACAATAAATGCTTATGATACAAAATTTAAGATACCAACTAATACATAACAAATACAACAAAATTCTGTTTATCATATATTGGCAGCTTTTAAATTTATATTATGCAACCAGGAAGGCATTAAAATACTACAAAACAAAGGTGACTCTCTGGGATAAGGAAGAAAAGGGATCTTACAACTTCTGTAGAGAACAGAATTCAGAAAGGAAATGAAAAGATTTCACCACCCAAATTTTTTAGTGTATATCATAAACCTTATTAACAAAATCTAAAAGCAAATGACAAATTAGAATACAATAAAGAAACTTTAAAATCAGTAAGAACAAGCTGAACATCACAACAATAAATGAACAAAGGGCGTGAACAGGTAACAAGTTCACAAATCAAGAAATACTGTTGATTAATGGAAGTGATCAATGGAATTCAACAGTATTCTAATCTCATAAATTATTTTTAAAAGTTCGCAGTTCAAAAAAATTATTTTTTTCTACTAAACTGGAAAAGATAAAATTAGTTATCAGTGTTTGCTAGAACAGGTTAGCTATTGATGTATTTTATACTCTGCTAGAGGGAACTCTGGTATTATCTAGCAATGGCTTTCAAGCGTAGCTTTTTTCACCCCAGCAATTCTATTTCTGTGTAGTTACCCTGCAAAAACAATTGTGGAAATAAATACAACCATAAGGATAATACTGCTTTCATTTAAAATCTGTAAACAGCCCAAATAGGCTATAATAAGAGACTGGTTAATTTACTCATTCATAGGGAGACATAAAAATTATTAACTGCAGATGTAAAAAATTCTTCTGAATAGCTAATACATTCACATGGTTCAAACATCTAAATATTATGTAGAGAGAATCCTCACCCTCCTCACCTACTACAGGTAACAATTCTTTCTTACCAGAAGGTAGTAACACTGTCATTTACCCTTAAAAACTTAATAAACTTGGTAACACAGAAAAATTTATCAGTACACATTTTTAAACTATAAGGTTATATAACCATATTATAGTAAGTCAATATTAAGAAATATATCTGCACAGAAAAATGGAAAGTATATGAACCAAAAACTAAAGATGTAAACAGTGATTAATACTGAGTAATAGATTACATTTTAATTTTTCCCCCACATAAACACGATTAGGAGAAATCATTTAAATTTAAAGAACGTAAAACCATAAACACGTATAAATTATGCTTACCTGCTTCTGGTTTGTTCAAGTCATATATGCGTAACAGTTTATCCTGTCCTCCAGTTAACAACAAATTACTATCCTGAAAACACAAGTAAAATGTTACTAGAGTAACCACTGTAATGCTTACATCTCTTTGAAACTTCTTGAACATCAAATAAAATCCAAACAAAGCTCACGGCACAAAAAGATACAACACATAACAATTACTTCTGAGAAGACGCTATAGAACATTTATCTCTGTCATCATGCCAAAGCCCTTTAAACTTCCTAGACCAAAGATGTTCTACCACCTACCAAATAAACTGGCTCACTCTGCTCTGATCCTGCTCCCCTCCCTTCTGAGTAGTAGTTCTTCCATCATCTCACATTCACCCTCTCCCTTCTGAAAGTAGTTGGGAAAGATTAACTGGGCATTTTAAATGTTTGTTGCTACTGATGGGGGACTGATACAAGAGTTCCAGGGTATTTTAAAAGCCTCATATATCATTAACCAAGCAAAAGTAAGTATGTCTGGCTTAACCCACAGTCAAATTAAATATAAGCCAATATACATGCAAAATTCACCCCCCAAACCAAATACACAAACAACAATTTAACTCCTTTAAAAAATTCCATTTTCTGATACCTGCGTGAAATCTACAGACTTGACAATGTGTTTATGAGCCAGGGTCATCAATTCATCTCCTGAGACAGCATCCCACACTTTGCTAAAAATGGAAAATAAAATTAAGATAAATATAATGGTAGTTTTGATGATGAATTACCAAATAATTTAAATCTGTGAAATATTTCATAAATGCACTATAAATCTCCATATTTCTCTTAACCCATCAAATGAACTCTTAACCCTTCCACTGTTAAGAGTTCATTTGATAAAATATTTAAATAAGTCTAAAGGAAAAGAAATTTCTCTGTAAGAGCCATGTAGCCAATCTAATTTTGACAGTAGAAAAGATCTATAAATGTAAGTAAATGCAATCCATGAACTAATACATCCTTACTTTTATTTCAGCCTACAACCATATTTTAGCAAAAATGCAAAGTATTTTAACCAATTTTTAATTTCACCTTTCCAATTGTTTTCTCTACTCTCATGTATATGCAAAAAAAAAAGAAAAAAGAAAAAGAAACCCTTAAAAGAACTTACAGTAGAATAAAAGGCCCTGATACAAGTTGTTCAAAATTTCCCACCTCTTCTTCAAAGTTGACTCTCAAATTCTCAAATGTTAGTCCAGGTAACTTCCTCCCAATATATTAGCCTTTGAGTATATAATGCTAATACTGAAGCTTTTTAATCTCAACTGCATGCTTCCCTGACCCATCCCAACCAAAAATATGTGTGGTTGTATCTATAAACATACATTTTGTCTGTATGCCAGGGGATAATGGTTAAATAATACTTTACAAAATACTGTAACGGGTTCCCGCCAAATACAAATGCTTAAAATTTGCATATGAGTATGAGAACTATTATGAGCAAGCGGCTATACTCCATAAAGGTTTCTATTTCATAATTGACATTTCCAGGAATAAGTGAAAAATTAAACAAAAAGAAAGCAAGGGGTATGTTTTCTTCATTTACTCAATAAACATATGATAAACGCATCAAGTACATATTGTCTGTCATTCTAGACTTAGTGCTAGGACACAAACGGGAGAAAAGGGTCCAAAGGAAGTTCCTGCCTTAGTGCGGCTTCAGCAGAGGAGAGAGACATCCATTACATAACACACTGAATAAACATAACCACAATACAAACCTATGTAGTTCTAAACACTGAAAAAAATACGCTGCTAATTACACCAGAAAGTCCGGAAAATCTAAACCATGAAAGCCAACAGTCTTAAAGAGCAAGCACACCAGGAACAACAACAAAACAGGATACTGTAGACAAGCGTCAATAGCACGTACGACAGTAAAAACACACGAAGGACCATCTAAGGGTAATAAATACTAATGATATACATCTTCCTATTACATATTTAGGTCATGAGTGGCTAAATATACCTATTCTGAGAGAAATAAAGCCAACTCCGAGTAGTACGAATACTAAATTCTCAAGAATTCATTTCTCTTTGCAAAGGAAACCTGCTCCGATCTCTCCCATTTCCAATTCAGTTCTGGCCCAGACCTACTTTCCCGACCTCATTTTGTTTTACCTCTCTGAATCTGGCCACGCCAGATTATAAACCGCTCCTCAAACAAGCCATGGGTTTTCTTCCTGCGTCTTTGGAGAAATTGTTCTCAGCTACCCAAAGTTCTACTCCTTCTCAGGACTCACTTCAAATGCTGTATTTTAACGAAACCTTTCCTTTATCTGACCTCCAGGAACCATCCCCATCTTTTTCTTCCACAGCTAGAACAGTAGATTATGTGTTTAATTTTGCTTTTCTTTTATTTTTAGCATAAGTTTACTCTTAATCACAAGGAAATCAGTGGTAAGATTTCACAAAGATTAGGACTCCGAACTGTTGAATGAAAGGTGTCAAAAGAGAGGAAAATAACAAATACACCTGAAACTTCTAGTTATTCACATGATACCAAGTCTCAAAGACACTCTTGGGCAATATCCTTTGAGATACTTTTAAGTATATTCAATGATCTCCAAAATCTCCTTAAAATCTTATGATTCTGCTTAAACCATGTCCATTCACTCTTGAAGGGGACGGTACTGGCATGAGCAAAGCAGTGTTACGGGGGGGGGGGGGGCGGGCAGAGTAACTGGTCTTCTTCCTCCTGTTCAGAAACACTACTACAGCTGAGGATGACACTCTGACAAAGCATGTTCTTTCTGAACACTTGTACTAACTCTGGCCTTTTTACATTACTTAGAAGAGTCCTCAAAAGAAACTGGAAGAACCTGTTTCCTAATGCATTTTTAAATCTCCAGGCAATAAACTTGGGTTAACTAGCTGGCTGCAGAACGCAAATCCAGACCATGAGGCGTCTTCACTAACACCCTTTCATCAGCTGATGTAGCATTTATTTCACGCACAGCTCATGAAGCACTCATCTTCTTCTCGAACTAGACACCTCTTATAGCCCCAGTCTCTTGCACACAATAATCAGTGCTATCTGTTCCACATTTTTCCTATTCTGAGAATGGACTTAGCACATGTCTCGAAAGAGGGGCTACTTAGCTTCTTTAAAGCCTGAACGAAACAAACGATTTTAGGGGGAACAAAGGGCCTATCTTAACATGCTGACCAAGTCATCAAAAAGGACGTAATACCACTCCTGATTTACTGAGAACATTATTCAGAGAAAAAGCAGATCTTTCCACTGACGTTTACAAGGAAAAAAGGTGATCACACACTGTGGTTAGCTACAGTGTAACACTCTCCAGAACAGAGCACAGCAATCTTCTCTTACGTCTGGCACTCTGTCCTGGTGACTTTGATGGGAGGAAAGTGGAGGTGCTAAGAGGGTCATGGCAAGTAATGTTAACACTAGCTGTATAAACTGAAAAACATACATAAAGAGGATGGTGTTTCAGGGACAGTGTACTCATGCCCTGACTTGACTGCCCCATCCCTCAAGATAACATTCTAAACTGACCCACAATTCAGCTCTGCTGATTGTATTTTCTTCGCAAGAAACAGGCGTAAAATTCACCTCTGAATCGGCATGACATTAATGAATTTTCTGAGAAGCATAAGAATGAGGAGCAAAAAAGAAGTTCCTAAGAATGACTTATACCAGCTAAGATTAATCAGGGAAGCTGAGGGAGCTACCCTCGAACTGGACCGGGTTCCGTAACAGCAAGGCCCAGGCCCATCGCTGCAAGAGGGGAGGGAGCACAGGCAATGAGCGCACACACTCCCACCCTCATAGGCAGACACAAAACAAATGAGGGGAAAGCCTCAGCTACCGTTTACGGAGCAGCACCTACTACGTAAGGAAAACTGCTAGACTCCAGGGATGTAAGTGGAGGAAGACCTCTGTAATTCTCCCCATAACAGCATTCATCCTACAACCATTTTACGGACACAAAAACCAAAGTTTACAGAGCATCCGGTGATCGAATGCAAAGTGCGGCCAGCACATGAACTCAGCCATGCCTAATGCGAAGGCTTACACCTTTCCCACTGGATCCTGGCACCTAAAAGCCTTAACCGAGGGAGAAAAATAGCATTCCTTCTTGATATTTATATCTACTCAAACTTCTTTACATGAAAACAAAAGGTTTCATGGTTTCAGCCATATAAGTTACAAAATAACATATATTTTGGTCTGGTACAGAGCAGCAGTTATTGTTACACATGAAATACACTGCTATTAGATTCCAGGCACTATTCTAAATATAGGGACATACATTTATTTAATACTCACAATCAACATATAAGGTAAGCACTATTACTATTTTCATTTTTACAGATGAAACTGAGAAAAAAAGAGGTTAAATTAGGTTCCCAAGGTCATGGAGCTCTTAAATGATGGAGCCAGAATTTAAGTACAGAATTCGAGTCTAAACCAGCATCCATGCTTTTAATACCATTTGTTAATATAGACACAGACTAGAAATGTTCAGACAGCACAGAAACGCCAAATATCTATCCACAGACCTCTCTTCAAATGTATGATTTGGTTATTAATGCTCTATAACTGACCTAACCAAAGATAACCGTTCCTTTCGTAGCAAGATAAAATCCTCAATACTCTTTCCAAGATCCTGTTAAGTATTTAAAGTGCCATTTTCAAGCCTTTCTCTCTGCATTTTAGAGTAATTATCACATGAACAGTAACTTCTATTTAATGCCCTTTATTTCTTTTCCTGAGGACTGGCATCACAATTTGGCCAAATGAACACACCGAGCACCCACAGGTTTTAGAGATGGGCACCCTTCCCAACAAGCTTTTGCACAGGTCCCTTAAAGAGGAGAGCAAGTCCTGGCCAGTAGGGTGAGTTGCCATGTCATCCCCACATGCCAACGTTGCAGATTAGATCCCTGGTCAGGGCACATGTAAGAATCAAACAATGAATGCGTAAGCAAGTGGAACAACAAATGGATGTTTCTCTCCCTCTTTTCCTCTCTCTCTCTAAAAAAATCAATTTAAAATTTTTTAAAATATAAAATTACCAGAGCAAAACCATCAAGCAGGAGGTGATGAAGCACTTTGCTTGTGTAATTAACACTGTTGGGGCCAGGTAACACAGATGTAAAGTTAACAAAAATGGATCTTTCCAGAACTGCAATTCCAAACGCTTGTCTCTTTTAGTGCTAATGTCAAGTGTCTAAATCTTGTTATATCTGTATCAATAACAACTATATTTCATTTAAAATTCCATTTTACTAAATATTAACTTAGTACCACCAGACCAAGACCTAGTTTCAGTAACAACATTTTTAAAATCCACTTATCAAGTATTTAAAATCTAAAGTTATTAACCCTAATTTTCTGCCTGTTATAAAATCAATGACACTCATTCCCAGTGACAGTGTTCCAGAAGCAAAACCAAAGGGATCTATAGTTCATGCATCCTTTATTCTTCTACTTTAGAAAATTTCCTCAAGTTATTTATTCAACAAACACAAAGTACTAAATAAGACAGGGGCACAAAAAATATAAGACATGGCCCTTGACCTCAAGAAGCAGTGACACATAGACCAGTTAAGTGCTGTGAAGTGCCAGAAGTTCAACACAGGAAATGGTGTGAGCACAAGAGAGGAAACAGACACTTTCATCCTCCAGCACTCCCTGAGTTTTCCTTGTCTGAGCATCCCTTTTACTTTCTACTTTGACCCCATCATTAACAGTCAAAGGAGTCTGTCCCATCATAAGCCTGCATGCTGACATCTAAAGCAGCACTGACCTGAAGTTGTTGACATTAAAAGGACTTATATATATAAACAAGCAGTTCCTTATTTTATCAATATTACATACAATCACAACAGGGCACAGCATGAAACCTTACTGTGGTTATGAATAAAGACAATATTCACTTAAGACAGAAAAAAATGACAAGTTCAGGGTAAAAATGATAACTTTCCTCACTAATCTCTCGGCATCTCAAATTTAACCCCTTGTAAGCAGTGTAGTTCCCTCTCCTTCTTTAAAAATTTTAATTTACTTTTAAATTTTATTGGGTTGGCCAAAAGGTCTGTTTAGTTTTCTTCCATAAAAGACACAGTTTTCATTTTCACCAAAAACATTATTAATTTGGATATTTTGAGTATGTTGGCTATCTCCCACATGGTATAAAACTGATTAGCCTCAATTAATGCCTTCTTTTTTTAAGTTAACCTTTTCAATTAACGTCTTGATTTGAATGCTGTCCACTTCAACTGGTCCACCCAACCTTGGAGCATCCGTGGAGCATTGCCTAGGGAAAAGTCTCCAGCACAGAACTTCACAAACCACTTTTGACACTTTCAATCAGTTGCAGCACTTTCTCCATACACTGCAGAAATTCTCTGTGTGTGTGTGTTTCACTTGTGTTTTTACCTTTCTTGATATCGTAAAGCAAATAAGGCAAAAATGTTGTGTATTTTCTTCTGTCTTCCATGTTAAAATAGCCACACAAAAATTCACTAATTTTGGTGTTTTTTTAGATGCATGCTAAAATGACAGCTGTCACAATACAGAACTGTTTCAAATGAAGTTGAAGACAACTAAGTGCTTACTAGAGCCACGTTACGGAAAAAAAAAACAAACTTTTTGGCCAACCTAATACATACGGTAAAATTCACTCTGTGGTACAGAAGTCTCTGCATTTTAACAAATGCACAGTCACACATTCACTACCACAATCAATGTGCCTTTATTTTTCATAAGCTTAGTATGTTAATTTGCTTAAAACAAAGGAGTAACACATTTACACTTGCTCTTCAGTGTGCAATTGTCTTGGAGAGGAGAAAAACAACAAACAGTACTTTTATTCTCCAGACTCTGAAGTCTAATAAAGTCTATTAATATGTACAACAGCTCTTGACACTGCCTTCATTAGTTTAAACATTTAAGTGTCTGCTAGGTCACAGTTTGGAAGTAGAGATAACAGGATTGTATAAAATATGACACATGCCCTAAAGGGGAAAGTGAATTATTTTAAGTCACTCTAATAACATATACAAAAGCCAAAAATCAAAACAGGTAAGGTGTATTCTGGTAACAGATAATATAATTGGACTGTAGGGCATACGGTGTGCAATGCCAGATGATGCTGATGAACTAGGATGAGGCCAAATTTTAAAGTGCCAGCAACTGAAGTTTAACCTTTCGGCCAGTGCTTCTAAGGTAGCACATCAGAATCACCTAGAACAATGTTCAGGGTGAAAAAAAATACTGATGCTTACACTCCAGCTCAGACCAAATCAGAATTTCTTGGACACATGCATCTGAATATTTTCAATGTTCCTTGGGTTATTCAACTGTACACGCAAGGTCACAAGCCATTGAAACGGCAGAGGAAAGACAGGAAGATTACTAGCTAGAGAAGTGATATGATGAAATTTGCTCTGAGGAAGACAACTGGCAGCACTGTGGAAGATGACTAGACGGAAGGAGGCCAGCTAGTGGCAAGGATCTGAACTAAGGCAGCAGCAGAGGCATAAGAAACACTGTAGTGGGGAGGCATTCTGCTGGTAGAATCAGTAAGATGAAGAAAATCAGATGTTAGGGAAAAATAAAGAACTTTAAAAACTTTGAAAAGGAAGAGTAACTCAGTTTGGGAGTTTTTAATATGTCTAAAGCCAGTTAATGAAAACTGAGAGTGGGATTCAGCTGAAATATCTGGGGTCATCAGCACTCTAGAAAGTCCCAGAAGTGCATCTATCACTCAGGAAGCACCTGTGGAGCAGCCTTTCTAGACAGGACCACCAACACTCACTACCGGGAGTGCTTGTTAATGTGAATTCCGGGGTCCCGATTTCGACATGCAGAGTAAGTCACTTCAGTCTGAAAACTTTAAGAACCACTGAAGAGAAAGCAGCAGACAGGACAGACCGCGGGGAAGAATTTTGGTAAGATAAACATCATGTGGTCTATGTGGTATTGAATCAGAATTTAATGAATAACTGAGACTGAAGTTTGATTATTTCAGAATACAACCCACAAAGACCTCCAAACCTACCCATGTTGGCTATACTTACGCTGTGAAATCTGCAGCGGCTGTAGCTGCTTTGGTGGCATCCTTATTCAACGTTGCACCCCAAACAGCACCCTTATGACCCAAAAAAGTTCCAATCCAGTCTCCTGTATCCCCCTGGCGTAGCATAGGTTTACCGTCTAAAAAACATTTAAAAAGATATGTGATTTACAAGTTCAGATTATTTGAAATCTTAGATTCAAACACAAAATGGTCAGGTTCAGTAACAAGAAGAAAACTGCATCTTCTATCTTATTATTCTCATGCACTGAGGTCACTAAGGAATGTGCAGAAATAAATTAAATCAACCAAATCAATAAATTAAATCAACGTGGTGGGGGCAAAAGTAATTTACAAGATGTTTGTATGAAAAATAATACAACAATTAACAAACAATAATACAATAATAAACTAATTGACACACTTTTTTTTTTACAAAAGTAAACCTACTTTTGCCACATCCTGTATATATAAGTGAACTAAATAAACTAACTTAATTAACTGAAGAACTGAGCTCTCTGGGCAGCATCTATTTAACTCGGTGGGAAGAATACTGATCTTCATCAAACTCTAGAACTGAGTCTCATTCTGGACAAACCTGTTAACCTAAATCTCAGTGCCTAATTGAAATACGGGGCTAATACCACAAAGGAATACCCAATGAGGTAATGGGGGTGACAAGCCTTTGTAAAATAAGGTAAGGAATTAAGACTTAGTCTGGCCTAGTTTTTCCAATTCCCAAACCTTTGAAAGACATTGACAGTTTGCTGGGCCGGGCGTCTTGACAAGTGAGCAGTCCCGCTTCTCCAGAAATAGCAATAAAAGTAAAATGAGAAGTCTTAGCCGGAGACAATCCTTACCCTTGTTAGAGGCATCACAAAGGCTTCTCTTGGCCCCAGCGGCGGAATCCCAAACACTGCTCCTCTGGCCCCCATCTCCAAGACTGGGGTCCTCCCAACCCCTTCGGCACCGGGGAGTGCTGGCTCCACTCCCTCTCCGCCCAGTCCTAGCCCTCTGGCCACCCGGATCAGCGGCCCTGCTTACCTTTGCACGCGCTGATTAGGAAATAGCCATAAGGCGTGATGCCACTGAAGGCCAAATCAACCACAGGCCGCGTGTGGCCGGAGCAGGTGAGCGGAGTCTGCCTCATGGCCATGGCGGCAACGAACCCAGGGAGCGAGATGGGGAGCGGGGGTTGCCTCGTTCTTTTCCTTCTCAAATGCAGTGCCTCCGGCTTCTCAAGGCCCCCGCCCTGACACTGGCGATGGCCCGGGAAACGGGAAAAGGAGGCTAATCCCGAGACACCGAGGCCAGGAAAAGGTTAGGGATGGGTCGGGGAGCCTGCGACCCGCGACCGACAGCCGCGGAAGGAGGGAGAGGGAGGGAGGAAGGAGGAAAGTAGGGGAAGGGGAGAAGCAGAGAACCGGCGGCCAGGACCCCCACCGTCCACACCGCCACCAGCAGGAACTGACGATACCAATGACGTTGGGTCCGCCGGAAATGAGGACTCGGTGGGAAGAGGGGCTCGCTGGTAAGAGTGTAGGACAGTAGCGCGCAGGCGCGAGTTCGGCACCAGTACGACACGTGACACTTGCCCAGCGCCTTCTTGATTGGCACCAGGGGGCGCTCTAGGCTCTTCAGTGAAGTCTCTCTTTGCTGAGTTAGGATCAGCCGGAAACAGCGTTGCTGGCTGTCCCTGGGCCAAGTTTGCCGCTTTCTAAGCTGTCCTGCTGTGCTCGGATCCTGTACCTGGGGGGGTCCTGTGGATTATGCTCGGAGTATCTGAACATGTAGACTGTAAAAATCAGAGTTCCCAATGGCGGTCCAAGACAGCAAACAACATCTAAGAGCTTTTTAAATTTTAATAACAACTGTATAGGTACCTCCTCTGGCATTATTTAAAAGTAAGGCGCTCAAGAAAGTTTTCCCAGCCCCCCTTCTATTATGTAACATTCCTGTACTGCTAATATTTTAGACATGAGTGTTATGTGGCTTTAAATACAGTTAAGGTTAAATTATTTTTCTTTTGAGGAGTTCAGAAAACTCTAGAGTAGTGGTCTAGTTTGCTTAATAGTCATATTAATAAAACCCGAGACTGCGCTCTAAATATACAGATAATAATTTGTAATTTACATACATGAACATTATAACACATAGGCAAAATACTGTTGCTAGAAGACTGTAAAAACTAAATTATAAGAAGAAATTGTAGTATGGTCTTCCTGAAAGCAACCCTCTTCAGGTATCGTTGTTCTGATATTTCCGAAGGGAGAGTAGGAAATAAAGAGAATGGCATAGACACAGACCCAGACTGCAATGCAAATCTCAAAAAGTCTTGTCCAAGCAAGTACCTTGCCTAACTCACATTTCATTGGTGAGATCTGGGACACGTGACCACTATGTAGCCACAAGGGAGTCTGGAAAATACGGTCTAGCTGGGCATGCATGTGCTCAGGAAGACAAGAAGAATAAATTCGAGTGCAACAGGAAGAGGATTGGACAGTTACCTATTTTCATTTGTTTTCTTCCCTTTGAGTTATATCTTTTCTACTTCACTCTGCTTTCTCCATATTTTTTTTTACTTTCCTTTGAGTCAATTCTCTTTCTTACAGCTTCACATGTAGTTTTTTTATATCCTTTGTTAACCTAAAAGTAAAAGGTGAAAGTTAGAGGCAGCAAACATTTATTTGAGATAAAAAAAGAATTGCAATTCGTGGAAGCACTTATTCAGGCAGAAACCCAAACAGCATTCCACTTAGGAGGTGAGGACAAGGGTATTTATGACAAAGGGAAGGGAGATAATTACGTGAATAGAAGGAAGGAATTTCCATCATGTTAGTTAGCCAAGGAGGGAATTTCTATAGGTACAAATCAACTAATTCTTTAGGTGCACGTGGATGTCTATTTTCAGGCTGGTAGTCAGGATGTAGGCTTTCCTGTCCACTGTGCCAACTGTTGTTTGAAGCACACCGTTGCTTTGGCCAGTTCAAAGGTTGTTTTGCCCCTCTAGGACATTCCACAGGTTTGAGGAGTAGGGGGGAGATACAAAGCAGTTTCTCTGGGATGGCAGCTTCGATTTTATTTCGAAGTGGTTCCATTTAGATTATATTTCATATGTGCATGTTTTGTTTTTTTACTTCAGTTTCTTTCAGCTCTGCCTTTGCATCTTCATTTGTTTTCATATTATTTCTTATTTTTTCTCTTGTTATACAGAGTTCATATTTTTACTTTTTAAAGAGGGTGTAGGGAAGTTCTTGCTAAACATTTCATTATTTTAGTAATTCTTGTATATTTATATTTCTTTTATTTAATAACAATACTTTTTTCAGTGAAGAGATCCCGTATCATTAGTATTTAAATGGTGACATTTCTATTAATTTAGTCTGTTATTTGTTTAAGAACAATGTGTGTTCTTTTAAAAATGTTTTCAAAATATGTTTATTGATTTGAGAGAGAGAGAAGAAGGGAAAGAGAGAAAGAGTGATTTGAAAAAGAAACATTGATTGGTTGCCTCCCACAAACGCCCCAACTGAGACTCAAATCCACAACCTAGGTAGATGACCTGACTGGGAACCAAATTGTCAACCTTTTGGTGTATGGGTCAGTGCTCCAACCAACTGAGCCACACCAACCAGGGCTATTCTTTTTGATTCTCGTCCCTTTTTTATTGGAAAGCGTTTTGGTTATATTCTTAAAACTTTAGCTAGAAGAATCTATATTAGTTTATGATTTTGGAATGAAGTCAGCTGCTTGTAGGGTGAAAAATATCGAATTATATGTTAAGGAAGACTTAATTTGAATACTTTTGGTACTGCTTCTACTAAATGTTTCAAAAAATCAGCTGTCATGGCTTTGTGAATAGACGTAGAGACACAGATACAGATTGTCTGATTGGATACAACGAGATTCCCTTCCCCTCACCATCACCTACACTTGTCTGTGAGTTAATATTACATTCTCAGGAAGAATCCATTTGGAACTAGCACTGTTTTCCCTAAATGATTCCTGAAGAGCAATTCCAAACTAAAGTGATAGTTCCAGTGATATGGAAATGCTCGGGAAGAAAACAAAAGGTGCATATCCAGGAATTCAAGGGTCATTTTTCTCCCCCAGAAGAACAGAGTAAAAGTCACATCAGTATGAAGACTCTATCTTCTTCACATAATGCTAGATCGTGTTGTGTTGGGAAGAAAACTAACACTCATGGAAGCAAGTTGCCCTCTCTCCCACGTAATGCTCACTGGTGAAGAGTGGCGCGTGGTAGCAGTGCTCACTGATGAAGAGATCATATGGAATCAGGTCACTTACTGTCTTTATCTCATTACACAGAGCCCACAGTCCCCCTAGAAAATTCATGTGCTCCTCCGGCAAACCCCAGGCCAAGGAAAGCTCCATCACATCTGGACAAAGCCTGTGTAGTTTAACCACATACAATGATGTGGCTCCCTTCTCATGTGGGAAGACGTTAAGATTCCCCCCCAAAACAGATAGGGACTTTAGAGGATGAAGGTTCGATCAGGGTCTGCAAGAAGAAGGTTAGGGTTTGAGGAAATCAAGATCAGAAACAAACGGTGGCCGTCTGAAGGCCTAAATGCTGAGGGCTTTTCCTCCTTTCTCTCTCCCTTGTGTGGTACGAGAAAAAGAATGGAAGCCACAGCTCCTAGTTTCTCCTACTTTGTAGTGGTTGGGAGTGCTTATTTACCTCTTCTGTGAAAGTAGCTGTTTAAATTATTGAACTCTTCTATGAAATAACTGTCGACATGGCCATCATAGATCAAACCAATAGGAAGGCACCAAGAAGCAAACATTAAAGCAAATCCCCCTCCCTCTTTGGTGTTGCAGTTTTCTTTGGGCACCTCCTACTGGAAGAGCCTAAAGTGGACCATGCTGAGGAAGCAAAAAATGGGGCTTGCAGAGTCCGGGTGCTGCCACCGCCACACAGGAGAGAATGAAAGGGGAGGTGGGTGGAGCTGAGTTACAACACGTGGCCCAAAGATTTTCACTAGGGCAAAGAGCTCCATGGGCCGAGCTCACAGACACCATGTAGGGGTGGTGAGGGTCCCTCTCTGCACCTCTGACCCCTGGGTGTTCTTGCCGATTGATGCAGCACTGGCAGCGGCCACCAGGAAGGGGACAGGAGGGCTGCTGGTTTGGGTGACATCAGCATGCATGCACCCTGAGATGCATCTGTTTGGTTCGTGCTTTTGACCAGTTTCTAATAGTGGGGTCCTGGCACCCAGAGCCCTGTTACCATCTGAACACACTTGCCCTCATTCTGCTTTAGCTTGTGTGCCCTTGGTTCTTGGCATTGGACACTTTCCCAAGCTCAGCTTCCTGAGGTGCCTCCCTTGGGGAAAGGAGTCCAACATGTCAGTTCTTTATGTGTCTTCCATGTCAGGCACTAAGTTCTTATCCTGGTACGTTTTCTACCGGGAAAGAGACGTGTTCCCCATTCCCTCCCTGCATGTGATGATTTGTTTTCTGAAATGCTCTCTCTGTTCCCTTTGCCTGCATCATCTTTCCTGAGAATGGTGTAAGCATTTAAAATTCACCTCTTACATGCTAACACCTGCAAAGTCCCTGCGATGACTTCAGAAGGACCTTGTGATGCTCCACTGTGTCAGGGAAGGGGCCTGTACCCAGGGAAGATCACTGTCGTACCCACTGATCTGCATAGAAAACATGGGGTCTGGGGCACCGGAGGGAGGCTGTCCACTGGGATCAAAAGCCTGGTGTTCAGTTTGTGGTGCTTGGAGCCTTCCCAGACTCGTATGCACTGCCCACCTTCCTACAGGTGAGGGAACGAGCAAAGGCTATGAACGAGGATGTCCCAGAACAAGAGACCTTGAGCCTGAAGGACTTGTGTGGGGACATGTCCATGTCCATTAGCAGTTAGAGGAGAGGGCCTCTCACCCTCAGAACACTGGTGTGTGTAGGCGATGGGCCCCCCATGTGGACTGTGCCAGTGAGGTCTGGCCAGGGATATGCACTGCCTGGGCGGGGGCATCTCTGCAGAGCTGGAGCTGCAGGTGCCAGGCACCGCAGTAGGCCGCTCCTCAACCATCAGGGGTCCTGGCCTTCAGGCTCATCTAGCCGGTTCGGCCTGTCTCCTCTTTTCTCACTGTGAGAGAGGGCCTGCCCTGAGTGGCCCTGACCCCCGGGTGTGGTCCAGAGGTTTTACTCCCAGTGCGGGCCAGGACGAGAGCCCCTCCCAAGCTCAGCCCCTCTGGTGCACATGGCTCCCTTCAGGGTGCTGAGCCTGTGTATGTAGTTTCAGAGTCTGACATTGCAAGGAGGCTGGACAAACAGCCTCCCACCCACGTGGCCCTGCTGACCCCAGAGGCCACCACCTTCATACTCCAGATAACTCTGGTGCTGTTTGCCAAACTTATGGAATAACACAATTGAATAACAGCTTCTTGGTGTTTTCATTTTAGGTGTTACCTATTGAGGTCACCCTGAGGAGGCTGGCATTTACTTCTTCACTGCTCCCTGCCTC